GGTCCTGGAGAGATTTTGGAGGGTCCTGGGGGGGGATTTTGGGGGGATTTGAGGGGTCAGGGAGGAAATTTGGGGGGAATTTGGGAGGATTTGCGATGGTTTTGGGGAGGATTTTGGGGTCTCGGGGCAGGTATTGGGGTCCCGGGGATGAATTTGGGCAGATTTTGGGGGAATTATGGGGTCCCAGGGTGAATTTTGGGGAGCCAGGGTGGATTTTGGGGTCCTGTGGATTAATTTGGGGCAGGTTTTGGGGTCCCGGGGTGGATTTTGGGGTCCTGGGGTGGATTTTGGGGTCCTGGGGTGGATTTTGGGGTCCTGGGGTGGATTTTGGGGTCCTGGGGTGGATTTTGGGGTCCTGGGGTGGATTTTGGGGTCCTGGGGTGGATTTTGGGGTCCTGGGGTGGATTTTGGGGTCCTGGGGTGGATTTTGGGGTCCTGGGGTGGATTTGGGGGCGGATTTTGGGGGACCAGGGCTGGATTTTGGGGTCCCAGGGTGGATTTTTGGGTCCCAGGGTGTATTTTGGGGCAGATTTTGGGGTCCTGGGGTAGATTTTGGGGTCCCAGGGTGGATTTTGGGGGTCCCAGGGATGAATTTGGGGCAGATTTTGGGGTTCCAGGGTGGATTTTGGGGTCCGGGGGGGATTTTTGGATTATTTTTGGGGTCCCGGGGATGATTTTGGGGCAGATTTTGGGGTAGATCGGAAGGATTTTGGGGTCCCGGGGATGATTTTGGGGTGGATTTTGGGGTCCCGGGGATGATTTTGGGGTGGATTTTGGGGTCTGGGGTGGATTTTTGGAAGATTTTGGGGTCCCGGGGATGATTTTGGGGTGGATTTTGGGGTCCCGGGGATGATTTTGGGGCAGATTTGGGGGTCTGGGGGTGGGTTCAGCCCCCCAAATTTGGGGTTTTTTTGGGCGACTCACGCGGTGCCCTTTGTCCCCCGGCAGCCCCGGGAGGCCGTCGAAGCCTCGCTCGCCCTAAAAATAATTTTGGGGGGGGGTCCCGAGTCAGGAGGGCCCCAAAATATTCCGGGGACCCCCCCAAAATCGAGACCCCCCCAAATTCTTACCTTGAGCCCGGGGACCCCCGGGAGCCCCCGGGCGCCGTCGGCTCCTGGGCGGCCCTGGGGGGAAAAAAGGGGTGAAACCCCCCAAAATCCCACCCAAAAATCGGAAATTTGGGGAATTTTGGGGAATTTTGGGGGGGATCTGGGGTGGGGGAGGGGTCTGGGGGAGTTTGGGGGTCCCAAATTCCCCCCTCCCCCCCCCCAAATTTCGGGGTCTCACCTGGGGCCCGAAGTCGCCGCTTTCGCCCTTGAGGCCGGAGCTGCCGGGCTGGCCCTGGGGGGGCCCGAAAATCGCCAAAACCAGCCCAAAAACAGCACAAAATTCACCCCAAAAATCAGCCCAAAATTCACCCCGAAAATCGCCAAAATCAGCCCAAAATCAGCCCAAAATCCACCCCGAAAATTGCCAAAATCAGCCCCAAAACCAGCCCAAAATTCACCCCGAAAATCGCCAAAATCAGCCCCAAAATCAGCCCCAAAATCAGCCCAAAATTCACCCCGAAAATCGCCAAAATCAGCCCCAAAATCAGCCCAAAATTCACCCCGAAAATCACCAAAACCAGCCCAAAATCAGCCCAAAAACAGCACAAAATCCGCCCAAAATTCACCCCAAAAATCACTAAAACCAGCCCAAAATCAGCCCCAAAATTCACCCAAAATCAGCACAAAATCAGCCCCAAAATTACACCAAAATCAGCTCCAAAATTCACCCAAAATCACACCAAAATCAGCCCCAAAACCAGCCCAAAATCCACCCCGAAAATTGCCAAAATCAGCCCAAAATTACACCAAAATCCACCCCGAAAATGCCCAAAAACAGCACAAAATCCGCCCAAAATTCACCCCAAAAATCACTAAAACCAGCCCAAAATCAGCACAAAATTCACCCCAAAAATCAGCCCAAAATTACACCAAAATCAGCCCCAAAATTAGCCCCAAAATTACACCAAAATCAGCCCCAACATCAGCCCAAAATTCACCCTGAAAATCGCCAAAATCAGCCCAAAATTGCACCAAAATCAGCCCAAAAATTCACCCCAAAAATCACCAAAATCAGCCCAAAATCAGCCCGAAATTCACCCCGAAAACCATCCCCAAATCACCCCAAAATTCACCCAAATTCACCCAAAATCAGCCCAAAATTGCATCAAAATTACACGAAAAATCACCTAAAAAACACCCTGAAAATCACCCAAATTCACCCAAAATCAGCCCAAAATTGCATCAAAATTACACGAAAAATCACCTAAAAAACACCCTGAAAATCACCCAAATTCACCCAAAATCAGCCCAAAATTACACCAAAATCAGCCCCAAAATTACACCAAAATCAGCCCCAAAATCAGCCCCAAAATTACACCAAAATCAGCCCCAACATCAGCCCAAAATTCACCCTGAAAATCGCCAAAATCAGCCCAAAATTGCACCAAAATCAGCCCAAAAATTCACCCCAAAAATCACCAAAATCAGCCCAAAATCAGCCCGAAATTCACCCCGAAAACCATCCCCAAATCACCCCAAAATTCACCCAAATTCACCCAAAATCAGCCCAAAATTGCATCAAAATTACACGAAAAATCACCTAAAAAACACCCTGAAAATCACCCAAATCCACCCAAAATCAGCCCAAAATTATATCAAATTTACAACAATATAATCCCAAAATTACAGCAAAATCACCCCAACATTCACTCAAAATCATCCTCAAAATCAGCCCCAAATCACCCCGAAATTCACCCAAAATCAGCCCAAAACCATCCCCAACTTACCCAAATTCCCCCAAAATGCCCCAAATTCACCCCAAAATGTCCCAGAATGCCCCAAAATCGGCCCAAAATGCCCAAATTCAACCCCAAAATGCCCCAAATTCAACCCAAATACCCCCAAATTCCCCCCAAAATGCCCCAAATTCCCCCAAATTCCCCTCAAAATGCCCCAAAATCCCCCAAATTCCCCCCAAAATGCCCCAAATTCCCCCAAAATGCCCCAAATTCCCCTCAAAATGCCCCAAAATCCCCCAAATTCCCCCCAAAATGCCCCAAATTCCCCCCAAAATGCCCAAAATGCCCCAAATTGCCCAAATTTCCCCAAATTCCCCCGTTCTCACCGTGGGCCCGGGGCGCCCGGTGAAGCCCATGGGGCCGGGGGGGCCCCGCAGC